TAACAGTTATACAGAATTGCAAATTGCAATTGAATTATAGCTATCTGCAAATTTTAACCGACACTTACAGCTATAATTGCAACTTGCAGCTGACAATTATATTTGATTGTAAGTGACAATTATAGCTAATTGGAACTCGTACCTGCTGTTATAGTTAACAATTATACAGAATTGCAAATTGCAATTCAGTTATAGCTATCTGCAAATTTTAACCGACAATTACAGCTATAATTGCATATTGCAGCTGACAATAAATTATAGTAAATTGTAAGTGACAAGTATAGCTAATTGGAATTCGTACCTGCTGTTATAGTTAACAGTTATACAGAATTGCAAATTGCAATTGAACTATAGCTATCTGCAAATTTTAACCGACCATTACCGCTATAATTGCAACTTGCAGCTGACCATAATTATAGTAATTGTAAGTGACAATTATAGCTAATCGGAACTCGTACCTGCTGTTATAGTTAAAAATTATACAGAATTGCAAATTGCAATTGAATTATAGCTATCTGCAAATTTTAACCGACAATTACAGCTATAACTGCAACTTGCAGCTGACAATTATAGTTAATTGTAAGTGACAATTATAGCTAATTAGAACTCGTACCTGCTGTTATAGTTAACAATTATACAGAATTGCAAATTGCAATTGAATTATAGCTATCTGCAAATTTTAACCGACCATTACAGCTATAATTGCAACTTGCAGCTGACAATTATAGTTAATTGTAAGTGACAATTATAGCTAATTGGAACTCGTACCTGCTGTTATAGTTAAAAATTATACAGAATTGCAAATTGCAATTGAATTATAGCTATCTGCAAATTTTAACCGACAATTACAGCTATAATTGCAACTTGCAGCTGACAATTATAGTTAATTGTAAGTGACAATTATAGCTAATTAGAACTCGTACCTGCTGTTATAGTTAACAATTATACAGAATTGCAAATTGCAATTGAATTATAGCTATCTGCAAATTTTAACCGACAATTACAGCTATAATTGCAACTTGCAGCTGACAATTATAGTTAATTGTAAGTGACAATTATAGCTAATTCTCGTAGCTGCTGTTATAGTTAAAAATTATACAGAATTGCAAATTTTAGCAGAAAATTATACGAAATGCAACTTGCAACTAATAATTATAAATAAAATATATTTTTTCCGCGATGCCTTTTCCATACTTCGTACTAGATCGACTGGTTTACTGGACTAAAGCGGGCGACATTCATGCTAAGATCAAGTTTAAAATTTCTCGAATACGTGTTTCGAGTTATTCGCCTCAGAGTCGAGATTAGCATAATATATAGGTGTATATTTTCTGATAAAACTTAACGCTTGTTCATCTTTGTTACTGGCATTAATATTCTTTTATTAGTAAAGACCAGGCGTATTTATAAAAGTGCTATCTGATCTTCTGGAACATAACTTTCTGTGTATATGGCCGATTAAGACCAATGTACGTAATTTGTGAAATTTGTCTACAGGCCAAAAATGCCGTTTTACTTGTCACATAAAAGTATCTAGTTACCAGTACAAAAATGATGTCCAAGCGTTCCAACCAACTAAAATATAGTCAAGTAGGTTGACTCTAAATGTTTTGCTCGTTTAGGGCGAGACCATCGATAATGACCTTTTCAAACGAGGTATCTATGCAGGCTTAATACCTGTCGGAGATACACCTAAATTAGGAAAACGCTGGGCTCTTTAGGGCGTATTTACATGCCGTTGAGAAACTTGTAAACATTTCATGACTTGGCCAAACCATTTTTATTTCTTTCTGACTTTATTTTAAGAAATATCAAAAAACTGATGGATCTGCATATGACATTAAAACGCGCGTCTCTGAAAACCTTGATTGCGAACGTCAAACACAAATTAGGCGTTAGTTCCAGCACCCCTACAATGTGGCAGACGTACATGACACACGAGCGACGCAAGTTTCCAAATAACCTGTTATGAATTTTTACTGAACGCGTTTCAGTGTAAGGGCATACCGCCGAGGGTTGAAGGGCATAAAGCAAAATTAGAGCAGAATTATATCTGGGACATAACATTAAAAATTCCACATCACTTTAAAACTTCTCAAAACTAGGTCCGGCACAAAGTGAGTCAATTTTGTCTGTAAAGGACATGGAATTGCTTTTAATGTAAATTTCTTTGGCCATTCAAATTTTGCAACCCACCCATTCAAGTTTGGGGAGACAAACAAACGGGAATATACTGAGTGCCTCTTGAAAACACTCTTATGCAAGTTGATTGAAACGAATGAAAGAATACCTCTAATGATCTAGATTTTATACCTAATCCTGAGGCAAAGAGGATGTGAAAACATCTGGAATTCTACATACGATGGTTGTTTCAAAAATTAGGTTCCTAACGCTGTAACTTTGCCGCGCGTGATGCTAGGTGAAATCTGGCAACGTCGTCGTGTTTTTCGGCTCGTCCACCACCGATCCCAACAAGAAGCGCCTATTGGAGACGCTCAGGACCGGTCTGACAGCCATGCGCAATGGAGCCCTTGATCGCCGTCACCGCCAGATGGGGTCATCCAATTTTTGCACGCAAAAACGTTACCACTCATAGAAATGAATCGCCAGTTGAGTAAAGTATATGGGAAACATGTATAAGCATTCAAGAAGTCCTCAAATGGTGAGAGGGAGTTCTTTGATGGCCGCCTGGACACGAACAACGGAGCTGAAGGCCGTCGATCTCCGAGGAAGTTAAATCTTGCTCGAAGATCGGCGAATCACGATCCAGGAACAGGCGGTCGAAATTCCTGAGGCTTCTGAAAAAGCTGAGACTGGCACTCTAAAATGGTCGTAGCAAAGCGTGAGACTGCATCACGACAATGCGCATCCTCATGTCACAACAAACTAACGACTGAATCGAGCGATTTTGCTGGGAAGTTATTGCCCATCGCCCTTACAGCATTTCCGAACTAACGTAGGGTGTGTGGCTGGGGAATGAAGCCTAAACAAATGTTTTGGCTTCATACCATGGACCTATGATAACCTATGGATCTGTAGCTTGGTGGGGCAAGGTAGCACAAAGAACTGTCAAAGCCAAACTAAGCGCAATACAGAGAGAAGCTTGTATGCTGATCACTTGTGCCTTTCGTACCACACCAACTGCAGCTATGGAGGTCCTTCTTAATTAACCCCCCTTGCACATATACCTGGAAGGCAAGGCAAGAAGAACATCTTATAGACTACATCATGTGGCAAATGGTATAATGGATAATATCACTATAGAGGAGACGGACATGCTGGTGAACTTACAAAACCATCCCAGTCTGGGAATGCCTTCTGATATAATGCCAAAGATAACAAGATATGCTAAACCCTACTCAGTGACAATTCCACACAGGAATGAGTGGGAACAGCAAGTTAACCTGATAAGGAAAGATATATGTGCATACAAAGATGGTTCGAAGACCAAGATAGCTGTTGGAGCTGGTATCTTCGTGCCGGAGCTAAAGATTAAAAAATGTGTTAGCCTAGGAACCTGGGCATCGATCTTCCAGGCAGAGCTATATGATACAAGAACTATAATTACTTTTTCAGATAATCAAGCACTTGACTCCACCTACTCGACATCGAAATTAGTGTGGAATTGCAAAGAAGCTCTCGGTGGCAGAGGGGAGGGGAGGGAATACGGCTAAACAAATACTCTCTGCAGAGATGGACAGAAAGATCTATCAATACTGAGAGGGATTAGCAGGGTTAACCCATGCTAAGGTAACTATACCAATCTTGACAAAGAAGGTAACAGACTCTTTGCTACGGCTGAACAGGAATAGCCTTAAAGCTTTAGTAGGACTCTACACAGGTCATTGCAAATTGCGTCACCACATGAGCAGGCTGGGCATGGCGGAGATGAAACGGTCAGGCATCTATTGTGCAGATGCCCTGCAATTGCCAGAATCAGGTACAACATACTTGGAGACGTAGTACTCGAAGCAGAAGACCTGAAAGGTATTTCTCCAAACAAGTTAATCCTCAGGAGGTCGGAGCTACAGGGCAAATATAAATAGGTGTGAGCCATAATAGACCAAAGAGTCGCAGTTTCCGAAACTAAAGGAGCACCAAGGCGGTCAAGGGTTCGAGACGGACGAGCAGTTACCAAGTTTCCAAGCGGGCGGGCGGCGGAATCCCTTGAGCCGGGAGTGAAAAAGTAGTTTAAAGATCAACGTTTCCTATGATAAATTCGTTTTTCAAATAAAAAATTTTGAAACCTTATTTTTGAGGCAACCCTCGTATTTAGCACTATAAAGCATAAACCACTGATTATCTTCTGTAGTTGAAGTTGAACTGAAACAACTTTCTGGCGATAGCACAAATTTAAATTAAGAAAACAATGCAATATCAAGCCCAAAAAGTATATAGTATGCGGCCAATGACTGGGTTTTTGTAACGTTAACGCTATTTGTCAAAACTATTCGTTTTTCTTTTTTGTTACTGCGCTGTTGTCACGAAACTTTGAGATGATTATACTACGGCTACGGCTAGAGACTTTTCTAAAAAAAAAGGCAAGTGGAAACTTGTGTCACATATTTTTGTATACACTCATTTCTATAGAAACGTGGTATTTAGAATATTTCATGATGTAAAGACGTTATTATGATATATTTGCCTTGACATTGAAATATGTTAATGCATCGAGAAGAAATGTCATTAGAAGAGCAACAAAAAACTCCTGGTTTCCTAATGATCTAACTTTTAGAGTGGTATATTTACACTGTTTAGAGTTTCCTTGTAATGTGTGTATACACGGGCTATTCGAAAAGGCTACGATGAACAATAATCTGTCATATTGATGCTCGTCACTTTACTTGATAAATCCTTCTTGTGAAAATTCGCCTTGACTGTCTGCATCCATGGGACTGTCAATATGTTCCTCAAGGAAAAAGGTGGTCTTTTCGAATAGCAGATGTAAAAACCCCAGTTAGCAAAATTATGAAATGGGCAAAAACTTGACAAGAACTCACTTGCTGTGAAGAACTCTAAGAGATTTTGGTGACATGCAATTCACACTCCAGTCAGTGTTGCCATGGTCGTTGCAGATAGTGATAGAAAATCGACCGTAGTTCGCTCGAATCAGCTTGATCAGTTCACCTTCTTTACATTCTATCTTCAAGATCTTCCCTTCGCACGCGTAAGCAGTCTCGTAACGAATTTCTGTAACAAACAAGAAAAATATTAGTTTTGTTTCCAACCCTGTACGATGATCTGTCAGAAACTGCCATAGTCATTGATCCACGTATTTTCCAATAAAATGGACTTGTTTGTTCACATACAATTTCCAAGTGATAAAAACATACTCCTCACTCTGTACAAGGCCCAGATGAAAGCTAGCCTCGAGTACTCCTCACATGTTTGGGGTGCTGCCGCCCCGACTAGATTATTCATGATCGATGCCGTGTCAAACTTCGTATATTCAGAACTGGCCGATACGACCGCTTCTTTGTCCCTAGGGTAATGAGATTGTGAAACAATCTACTCGAGGAAATACATAAATTTAGGTTTCTGCTTGCGCGGCTGCTTCGGTATGAAAAAAAACGACGGTTTTCCGCAATAATGTGTAACAGTGAACTTAAAAAATACTGAAAAAGAGAAGATCTGCAGACCAGTTGGAATAGTTGAAAATGAAACAACCAGATAGCTCCTCTATTTTGAAATGCCGTGCTTGGTATAAAGCTCCAAGGACCTACAGTGACAATAATATGGTGAAGAGAACATGCAAAAAAATATGGGAAACATGAACATAAACAAAAGTAATACTGTTGTACCATTATGAAAAAGGGTTGATTAATTTAAAGATTCTGAGGAAAATAATACGCTCAAACTGTCAAATGGACTTTACAACAAGCAGTGCAAAGTTGGTTGCCTAGATTTATTTAGCTTCGCTCTGTGGGTTTGTTATTCGCTACAAAATTGACAACGCGTATAATTTTCATTACTATTTAGCATTTCCAAACCATCCAAAACTTATAATAAATCTTACTATGTATGTAGTAAGTATGTACCATAACAGGCGATTCTTTGAACAAAAGGCTCATATAAAGATAGGTTCGTAAATTCTTCGTTCTCAAGTTACGGGGTGTTAAAATTTAAGGAAAAGGTTTTTCTTAAATTTCTTAAATATCCTTTACCTAATTTTGTTGTAATTTGGTAGTGGGATTTATAACATTAAGGGCTAATTTAGTCATAACTTGATTAAATTGATCAACTCCAGTGGCGTCTCGAGCGGGATCTGAACGAATATTTGTGACAAAAAAATATACGCTACTGACTTTTGTGTAATTTTTATTGTTTTTTTTTTGGAATAAGCAAATTAAAATACAACTTTTCTCCATATTCTTTGTGTGGTTCAGGGATATGCAATGAGTGGACTTTTTTTTCGAAAACTAAGCAAGATACGAAAAGAATTCAAATTACAAAAAAGTTACTATTCTATTTGCTTAATCGATAGAACAGAATAAAACACAAAGGTCACTCTTTTACATTTTTTATCACAAATATTCGTTTAGATCCCGCTCGAGACGCCACTGGACTTGCTGAATTTAATCAAGTTAGGCTCCTTAATGTTATAAACACCACCGCCAAAATACAACAAAATTAGGTGAAGGGTATTTAAGATATCTACGAAAAACCGTATTTTTTTACATTTTAACACCCTGTATCGTGAAAACGAAGAATCGGCAGGAGGTTTTTCTCTTAAAATTACTCAAAGAATCATCTATTAAATTTATACTACATACTCACTTAACACGCTGTATATACAACCAGCAAAGGCAAATTTTTCAGACATCGATGACAGCATGTGATGACAACTTTTACCTCAAGAGGGAATCGATAATGTGATTAGAAGTGCATAAGAAATTTTTTTCAACAGTTGCAGTGCCAACAATCATGTACAGGGTGTTTCACAACTTATCCGACAAATTTTAACCACATATGCACTGTTACGAAAGAAGCGGATTTATGAAAAAAAGAAAATGTAATAAAAACCCTATAGTTGATAAAATAATACAGTTTAACAGTTCATTTACTTATAAAAGCTGTTCAAAATTGTTTCCATTGACTGCAATGCAAGCTTGGGCACGTCTAATCTCACCAGCACATGCACGTAAAACAATTAAACTAAATGTTTCGTGATGTGATATGTGCCTATTCGGAAATCGGTGTGCATACAAACGAGAAACCGCTCGCGAATTTAGCCCTGCTTCTTCCTACGCTAAAACCATGTCCACTAACTCCTCATTAGTGTGCCATTTTTATTAATAAATAACTAAAAACACAAACTCGAAAAATGCTTTCTTGTTTACGATACAGATTAAACCTTATTAACACGTTCTTAGCAGTATGAAAAAACAAAAAATTCCTGGTATTTTGTTTTCGTTAGTTGTTTGGTACATTTGTTACAATAAATTATGAATGCGAATCATGACGATGAACGCAAAATACCGATATTTATTTTTCAATTCATTATTGAAACTCAGGTTTATAATTTAATTTCTGTAGGACTTTTATTACATTTTTTTGAGAAAATAACCTCTTTCGTAACAGTGCATATGTGGTTGAAATTTGTCGGATAACTTGTGAAACACCCTGTACATGATTCCACACGTTTTTTAGCGACTCTGCTTCTTTCCGCTGTTTTAATTATGAACAGATCTACTATACTTAGTGAGTAACGGCCAGAAAACATTAGAGATTTAGAAGTAATTATATTTCGAAGCTGTACGGCACGGTAATATCAACAGAACAAAGTATACGCAAATCTTGTTTAAACCGAGCCATTTCCATTGAGGTAAATGCATTTTTGGTGTTTAGGCAAAATTAACTTCAGCTGAAATTAAATGCGTTTAGTTAATGTTCTTTCCGACAAGTTAAAATAAGTTTTAACTGAATTAAGGATTTGAAGTTAAAGCCATAATGAATGGGTGGCTAGGTACGCTAATTCTTTTACTTCTTACCACTTACCAATAGCCGAGGGAAGTTAGCGTTTTGCTTTCTACGCCAATTAGCAAGAGTGGATATAATATTATACATACTTATAGAATGATGTGAATCCATATGCAGAAGTGAGAGATAAATTTACGTCAATGATTGATTGAAAATGACTTCTTAAATACTTTTTGAAATTCTCGAAATCTGAACCTTTAGTTAGGGTAAAGCATTGTACATGATAGTAACGTAAGTAGAACATCTAGTAAAAAATGAAGTTATGTGAGGAGGCGTTGTTATTGTACCAATAAAGCGAATATCTCGTGAGCCCATAGAACAACGAAATTTTAACTTATCTTTCAAAAATGGGGAAAATAAGGTGAGTAAAAGCTTATGAATATAACAGTAAATCAAATTTAAATAGATTATGAATAGTGAATGAACCATTCCAATTTTATGAACGAGGAGGTAAGGTGGTCATATTTTTTTCAGTTACAGGTTAATCTGCAACATGAATTTTGAATTCTTCGCGAACGCTTAACAATGTCGCAGTATGTAATTTTTGAAATAATTAATGACCCACAGAGAATTTTTTTTGTCAGTTTTGCAATCGAGAATTTGCTTCTTCAAGTAGAATTGCCGAAGTACTAAAAACAACTTTTTGAAACATTGTTTTAATTTTTGTTTCACCACAATTCAAATCGCAAACAACGGGTAATAACAAGCCAAGGAGCTTCTGCTAGTGCTGATGTTGCTTCTGGTGCTCCACAAGATTCCGTACTTGGTCCCCTGTTATACTTAATCTATACTAACCATGATCAAGTATCCTATAAAATTAATTTAGGCTTGGTGAACATAAGTATCAACTGTTTGAAGCTTAATTCTACCAAGGGTTTTGCATTGTTATTCTGTCCTAAAACCAACTATTGAACGTTTTGAAAGGACAATTGATTTGAGGATAAATAACGTCCATATTCTACTGGTCATACATGCAAAAAGTTTGTTGTCACTTCAGACGTAAGTCCTAGATTTCATCACCACGTCAGTAATATATTGAAAGCTACATATGCAAGCTTGAGGCACTTATATTAGAAATCGTTCTATCCTCGAATTCAAGACGAAGGAAATTAGTAGACAGTTTGGTTATGTCTAAACTGCTTTACTGTTTCATCGTATTTTATCCTTGTATTGACTCCATAACAGAAACCAGATTTCTGAAAATTCAAAACTGTTGCTGCAGTTTTCTTTTCGGTTTTCCTAGTTACATCTAAAATTTGTGAGTTGGGGTGGATGAAGCTGAAAAATCTTTACGAGTTTTTAATGTTAGTTTTTATACCCCAAGAGACCTATGAACCTAGCAAGTAAGTTAGTTCCTAGTAGAAATTATCAAACCAATTTTTAAAAAGAGGTAATCCAGAGCAATAAAAAAATTATAGGCCTATCAATATTTTAACGGGTTTTTCAAAATTATTTGAGTTAGGCATCAGTAAGAGATTATTAGAATTTATGAATGACTGTAATTTATTTAATACACATCAGCATGGATACCTACATGGGAGATCAACAGATACTGCAATCTTTCAATTTGTTCAAACAGTACTTAAGCAATTAGAGGAGGGAAACTTAGCGGTTGGTTTCTACCTGGACTTGTCCAAAGCTTATGATTGCATTGACAGAGACATATTGTTATTAAAGCTACAAAGATATGGTATAAGAGGAACTGCGCTAGAATTGTTCAAGCCATACCTCAATAATAGACAACAGAAGGTTGAAATTGTTAAAGGAGGTCAAACTTACAAGTCACACATTGAGTTGACTTAAACCGGCATAGCACAGGGTAGTATACTTAGGCCCATTTTGTTTGTAGTTTTTTTAAACGATCTCTGTTTTGTTACTAGTGGTGATGAGAGCAAGCATACAATTATCTACTATGCTGATGACACAAATTTAGTGTTGGGTGGGACAAGTGTAGAGGACCTAACTGCTAATGGGAATCTCTTATTCAGAAGTGTGAATACATGGTTTTCTGAGAACTAACTAGTGCTGAATAAATCCAAAACTGATGCAATATTGTCTAGAATTAAGCATAGTAAAGTCGTTAAGCCACAATGTATCGATATAGATGATCATCAACTGCAGTTGAGTGAAAGTGTAAAATTCTTAGGCATCTATATTGATGAATTTTTATATTGGACCACACATGCATTCGAACTGCTGAAGAGGCTCAA